AATCCAAAATCATTTCACAATAACCTGCTTGCAGCATATGTATGTAAAGATCATATGTAATAATAGAACACTGAGAGAAGCTGCTGGCAGTGGTTAAATAGCTTGGTATGGCATAGTTATAATTACCAAGTTTGAATTAACACAACAAGTATTGGTGAGATTTTAAAATGAAATTTAAAACTTGAAGAAAATATTTCAAAAGGACATCATAGCACGGAAGAAAGGAGAATAGCCATATATTCCCAGTTTGCTTTTTATATGACTTGTTCTAGTCAAGTAATATATTGAACCTTTCTGAGACTCACTCACTTTCTCTGAAAAATGTCTGTTGTAATATCGTGGTTTTAGAATTTTAATAACAATTAATAATATCATAGTGCCTTGCAGATAGGCACTCAATAAATTGATAAATAGGAGTTCTTTTATGATTACCAACATAAAAGGTGAATTCCACAAATAATGTGTTTCTGCTTCATAGACTCCACCTGGGTTGGGTCCTCACTAAATAATATAAAGTAATATAAAACCTCTACTCTGTGATTAAAATCATGTTTTGACATGCTTTATGAGCTCTTTTCATATGGATTTTTGATAATATGCTTTCAAAATTATTGGCAGATCTACTCTTTGTCTGTACTTCAAGCTGGATAATGGAAAATGATTTATACAGTTTTATTGAATTTACAAGGGTTAGAGTAGCCACGTTAATTATTGCTATGTCATTCTCGAAGGCTAGCAGGAACTGAAACAAAACATAAGCCAAACTAAATGTAATTAGCATTAAAATGACTCAAGCATGAAAAATAATCGAATGGGTCCTGGAGTGTTATTCTCMACAACAAAAAAAGATCCTACTTGTTTGCAAACATTCATTTTAATTCCCTTTCCCTCATCATTTGAAATTAGAGAGATATTTTAGGTCCCTCTCATATTTCTCAATAACATTTTCTTAACATTATGATGTATAGTGTCATATATAATTAATCTAACTTTAAAAAATAGATGATAGCAGCTGAAAATTCTCACAGGATGAGTACAAGGTATCCACCTCACTAAAACATAATCATTTGTTCTTTCTAACTGTATGTTATTCAGTGTTACTGTTTTCTGATTAGAACAGTCTCTTTTTAGAGTACAAATTCTWTCTTCCAAATTCAGTGAATTCTATGTTGAATTGAAAATACAATGCTACGCGAGAAAAGTACTTTTACATAGAATTTCTATCCAAATCCTTCTTCCTAGACCAAGGTTAGCAGCAGTAAATATAGTCAGCCTTCTGCATGTTGCGCATCCACAGATTCAACAAATTACAGATAAAATATATTCAAGAAAAAACCCATTTCTGCAGTGAACATGTGCAGACTTTTCTTTCTTACCTTTATTCCCTAAACAATACAACAATGATTTACTTATTATTTGCATTGCATTAGGTACTATAAGTAATCTAGAGATTATTTAAAGCATAAAGGGGATGTTCATAGACTTTATGTAAATACTATGTAATTTTATATAATGAGTATTTGCAGATTTGGGGATCCATGGGAGTCCTGAGGAATAGTTTTCTTTACTATGGACCCATAACTGTCAGAAGATAGTGTAAAATATGAGAAGATRGAAAGAAAGAAGAAATTCTAAGAAAAGAGAGATAAAAGAAACTATTGTAAGTAGATATATAGGGAAAGTCATGCGTGGGGTAAAGCAGATAACGATAGACATAGGTTAGAGTTTTGACTTTATAGTCAAGAAAGTTGCTAGGAGGTGACAAGGAAGGAAAGCTAGGACTGTATTCTCGGGAAACAAGGGTCTCCTCAATATATTTCTGTAATGAGGAGAGAGATCTAGCAGTGTGAGAGTGAAGGAGCCATGCAGGGCTTCCTGGAAACACAGGCTGATTCCACAAAATGTATGCCTCCTTCTAGTTAGATCAGAGCTGATGTGTAGCAGAACCACACTTTTTTTTTTAGCTCTGTTAGCTCTGAATTTTTTTGGAATACTTCCACACTGTTGGTAAGAAGCTCTTGTCAGAGGCAGTATGTGTTCCTTTTCTGTGAATACTCAGATACATTCTGGGTATATCTGAATTTCTGAATTAAAGAAGGACTCTCAGGAATAGCAATGGCAGGGTGTTCCAGGACACTCCAGCTTATATRGCTGGTGTAAATTTTGGTAGGCACCTGTGTCAAAACTGTGTGTCTATTACCTCTAAGAGGAGCATATGAATTGGGGACACTTAAAAAGGCTTGAGGTTAAGTCTCAAATTGGCTCTGAGATACAATGATAGGACCAAAAGGACCCAAGGTATAATTTTGACTTTGTTAGATATGCCTGAGATCCTATTAAATGGGCGTAGCAATATCATTAAAAACAAACATTAATGGGAAACATTTCTCTCTTCATGATCATAGATTAGAATTATACAATTATAATTATTTTTGTCATCTGATTTGTAAATACARTATAAATCATTCATGTCTTTTTTTTCCTACTGTAGTATTGCATTTCAATCTAGTTTTAAAATCAATATACTTTACCTTATTTCCTRTCACCTCCTGCTTTAAGAAAAGAAAAAGCCCAGGGCTCTGGCCATGTTTGAACTTGATGAGCTCTCTTATACTGAGATGCCTGGGCACAGGATGCCTCTGTAATTGGATCTCAACAGTTATTAATAGCTGTCTTTTTCCCTCTTCAGKGTCAGATCCAGTGGCAGATCCCATGAACATACGCAATGTGCTACCTAACAKAGGCATCTGCAGACTTGTCCAATGGACTATTTTAGACAAACTTTTATATAAGTTTTATAAACTTTAAAGGGTATGAAGGAAATAAGTCTACCTTTGAAATAAACTGTAAAAATCCATTAAAAGAACATTGCCTTTAAAGTATTTTAAAAACAGATAATTATCTAAGTGAGAAATTACAGTGTCCTATCTTATTATTCTAAACCATGGGTTTTAAGTGATCTTGAAATGAAAAAAATTTTTTTCTTCCTAGATATTACTTTTTCATATGTAATTCTCAAACTTTTTATATCTTTATTTGCTCTTTTKAATAACTTCAGTATGTATAAATATGCAAGCTCTAATTCTATGTCTTGAATAGTCAGTTTTCAAGTAAAATACAGATACCTATCTGGAGATTGTCATTAAGTTAATTGTAATGCATTTTATAATTGTATAGAATGTGTTTCCTTTCATAATATAAAAAGGAAAATAATGACCTTCCMAGTTAGTAATTTTGTTGTCTTGAAATTTCTTTTCCTTAACTCTGAATTGTTTAAGTTAATGGTTAAATTTTATGTGGTGTGTTTTTATTATAGAACAAAGGGGTCTATATTAAAATATACTGAGATTAATGTGAAATGTTAAAACTTACAACCTTTTTAAAGGTATTTTCTCATATAGTAAGTATTTTTGTCTTGTATTTTTCATCTTGTATTTCAGACATATTATGCACAAAGTGTCACAATTTTATAGAGGATAAAATAAGATTTCTTCTTCCTTTTTATATCTAACAAGGACATTAACCCACAGATATGAAGTTGATAAAATTTATAACATTACAATATTACTACTTATATAGCAAATTTTTAGTGATATGATCTATTCTAATGTCCTGGATAACCATAAGACTCAGTAAATACTTACTACAACCCTTTGAGGTAGATGCCATTTTGTTCTCATTTTGTAGAGGAAAAAACTGAAKCATGAAGATTATTGGTTTTCCCAATATCACAGGATAATGAGTGTATTAGTTAGATTTGGTCAGAGAGAAAAGAATCAATAGCATATGTGTATAGTTATATGAGGGGGGATCTATGAGAAAAATTGGTTCTTGCAATTCTAGTTACTGAGGAGGCTTATGACAGGGTGTCTACAAGGTGAAGACCCTAAGAAACTGATAGCTTGACTCAGTTTAAGTCAGAAGGCCTTAGAACCAAGAAAGCAGGTGACATACCTCCTACTCTGATGCCGAATGCCTGAGAAACTCAAGGGAAGGAGGAGCTGTTGGCAATAAGTCCTGGAGTCCAACAGCTGTTGAGCTTCAAGAAKAAAAAAGGTCCAGCCCCATTATTTGAGAAAAGACCAATTTATCTTTTGCATGTGTTCTCTTTGGGATTGTTAACCAGTTGGTTGACACCGCACAGAATGATCCTTTTCACAGATTAGATTCACGCACTAATTTTCTCTAGGAACCCCCTAAYAGACATTCCAAAAATAATGTTTTATCAGGTTGCTAGGTATTCCTTAAATGAGTCCAGTTGAGAACTAAAATTAACTATCATTGTGAGTGATTGTTCTGAAAGGAAAAAACAAGTAGTATGGCTCTGGAGTGTATAGCTAACCTCTAGGCTACTTTTCTATATCAGACACCAAAGAAGGAAAASCAGTTCCATCAGAAATGATGATTTCTAAGGAAATATTCACTTAGCAAGACTAGCATTGTGAAGAATGAAAACACTGGGGTTGATAGAAATAGTAAGTGTGGTGGAGAGGGGAAAGGGAAGTAGCTATAAAAAAGGAGTTGCAAGAACATAGAATTGGGAAAAGTACAACATATATTCAAGGCATCATAAAGAGGGCAGTTTGACAAGATAAGAGGGGTTTTTTTGATAATTCTTAGAAAGATGAATATGTTCAAGGTGCTTGCTGGATATTATTTGATATATCATTACTAACATTAAAATAAACTCATTTTCTACACAAATAGGTTTTGATATTTGCAATTGTGTGTTTATCTTAAATGTCAATCTGTTACTAACATTATGACCCTGTTTTTCATTCACCCAACTGACTGACTAAGCTATTATCCTGTCAAGCATTCACTTGTGACTCAAAGTGGAACATTTTTAAAATGAATGTGTGTGTGTGTGTGTGTGTGTGTGTGTATATATAAATAAAATTTGGACACTAATGAAAACTTCAGATAGACTTTTCCTACTTAAGAATTCAAAATCAAAGTGAAGGATTCCTGATCACAGTGCATATCACTGTCTTTTTCAGGTAAACCAGTGATGATAGTGACAGAGTATATGGAGAATGGTTCTTTAGATACATTTTTAAAGGTAAGATCTGGAACTAAGTTAGTTATTCACAGTGTTATTTATATATCAATCATGTCATTGAAGCCGAAACTGAAAAAACTTACATTTAAAAAGTTTTACATGGATAGAAATATGTGGAGCCAGGATAACTATACTAGCCAGAAGCACAGAATTAACTGTGGTTTGAAAAATGTGCTTTTGAGAAAATAAGTCCAAATTACATCTTTGTAGTTTTCTTTAGGCATATGTTGATTCGAACAACAACAACAAAAAAAAAGGAAACTGGGATTGAAAAAAAAAAAGAGAAGAAAAGAAGGGATATATGAAATGAAGGGAAGGGAAGAAAAAAACAAAGGAAAAAATAAACTTTACAAATACTCAACTTTTGAAAGTGCATAATGTCAAGGAGAGCAAGGAGAAATGTCTGAAGTGTCCCTGCAGTCCTTAAGGAAGGCATCTGTGGGAGTCTATAAGTGTTCATAACCCACATGAGCACCARTCACTGAGTCATTGTTTTCACTAGCAGAAAAGTCATGTGGTAAGAGAGAACAGTTGATATTGTCAGATCTTCAGATCCGGTTTCAGGAAAATATTTTTAYGTGTACTTCCCCAAATTTTAAATACTGACAATTCATTTTTATCAGTAAATAAAATATGCTTGTGTCTAACAATGAAACACACTTAGAGGTCTGATTAAACCTATAGTCTAGCAGTAAGTCACACTATTTCTTATTTCAAAATCACCATCAGTTGGGCCTTATGAATCTGTGCAACTGCATTAAATTCAGTGCCTTTAACAAAAACAACAAATTTCCAAGAACTGCTAACATTTTATGTTAGCAGTCATCCTTCTCCCTATCTGCTAAGATACTCCCTTATCTACTCTGACCACTTTATCTTTACCTCAGTATCTCTATACAGCTAGTTTCTTTTACATTGCCTAAAATATATCTGTTGTTATCTAAGGCAAATACTAGATTGGAGTAATGAACAAACTCCTTGAATAACTGATAATAAAGGAATTACAATTCAGAAAAGGTCAATAAAATTAGATTTTGACAAGAGCTTTCAAAGCCTTTATCTTTTTTGACCAGATCAACATTAAAAGTTAACCAAATATTTTCTATTCTCCTTCAGATAAGTATTGCATATAAATTTTGATGGATGGTAATATTAATTGGAAGATTGAAGGAAGACCCTTTCAGTTTTCCTCCTTTGAAGGGTATTGCTTCACTAATATTTCTACACTGTCTTTACAGAAAAACGACGGGCAGTTCACTGTGATTCAGCTTGTTGGCATGCTGAGAGGCATCGCTGCAGGAATGAAGTACCTTTCTGACATGGGCTACGTGCACAGAGACCTTGCTGCTAGAAACATCTTAATCAACAGTAACCTTGTGTGCAAAGTGTCTGACTTTGGACTTTCCAGGGTACTGGAAGATGATCCTGAGGCAGCCTATACCACAAGGGTAAGATCTAACAGAATGCATTTCTGACACACTAGACTAGAGATATTTAATTTTTAAAGATTTTAAAGGAAATGGCAAAAAGGGCATTCCTCTAACAAAGTCAAGAGAAGTCAGAGATATCATGAGAGAAAGAGAGAGAGAGAGGGTGAGAGAATCGAAAGCTCAGATCTCTTTTTATATATCACCAAATTCAAATATTAAATACTGGTAAGGAAAACATTCACCTTCTGAATCTTAATTATTTTTTTGTGACTATACTAAAATAGAACACCTGAATTAAGAATGGAAGTAACAACATAAAATCATATAAATTTTTAAATCCAAGGCAGTTAAAAGTAGAATCTCCTATATTAAAAGAAACGGTAAAAGAAAGTATATATGTATACACACATAATGATGATGTAAACATGTATAGCATCACAGAGTGTCCTCAATTGCAAAATAAGTACAGAAATATCTGGACCTTACCTTTTCAGAATTTATGTCATTGGGGAAAAAAGTTATTCTTTCCTTTTGGGAAGTTTTGAGTTACTGGAGTTATTGCAGTGCCTCATTACTTTTTTTACATACTCATGGCAAGCTTTCATCTATAGGAAATTGGTCACCAACACATATTTTCATACTTAGCAAAATTCACCACTCTTTTCAGGAGCAAAAGTAATTGCTTTGTGAACTGATACGGCATACCGTTGACAATTTTTCCTATGTAAAACTGTTGACATTGCTGCAAAGAAATTTTTTGGGTCATCTATGATATTGGATTTATTAAGTCTGAAATTCTTACAATAAATAATATTTGTGTAATTTGAAATCTTTTCAGTGTTTTTGAGTTAGATATTCTCAATGTCTAAACTCCTTATGAAGACAGGGATTTATTATACATCTTTTCACCATCCAATTTGGTTAGCTTTTGTTTGAATGTAGAGTAACAATTTTGCCATCTCTCATTCTCAAATCCATTTAAAGGTGCTACATATGTTCTTAAACATCATAAATTTATAACTATAGTCTAAATGTAAGTTCTTTATTACATTATAGGGTTGTTTTGTTTTGTTTTTATATTGTTGTATGATGACTTATGGTTATTTGGGGATTTGTACTGTGCTGAAGGGCAAGAGTAATTTATCTAAGCAAATGAAGGTTTCCAAAGTTCAGCTTAATAAATCAATAAATTAATTGAAGAGTTATCCCTGTTCTTCTAGACCTAAGTAGCATTGTCACTATTTGCATTAAATGAAGCTTCAATTAAGAATCCTCCTGGGATTATAGTTACACTTAATAAACTTGACCTGAGCAAGATTGAGGTTATAGAAAAGTCTTGTGATTGTTGTGTTAGTTAAGTGCAAAAAGTGGATTTTTCAAGTTCTGTGTCAGTATGTTATGCTGCAGAGTTGGGAGTGAGAGACAGAAATCATGAAATTCTAAAGACTTACTCTTCTGAAATGGAGTGTGGTAGCATTTTATGGAAAATCTATATACTGAGAGATAAGTAGATAAGGGACTGTTAGAAAATATGCTGACCTCTATCATGGTAAAAGGATCAGAWGAAAAATTATGAGCTGAAATTCAACATAATTAACATATTTCAATTCTAAGAGTCACTTTAATCACACAGTGTAGAATACCACATCTCTATGAGTAGATAGGTTTCATGGTATGAGCTTGCCTTTATACTTAATTAACAAGAAGTTTAAAGTAAGTTTTTTTAAAATGGAGAGATAAAGAAAGAGCAAGATTATTACATATTATATAGAGTTTGCATATAAATATCTAGAGTTTATATATAATGGTTAGATAAATTATATGTATGTGTATATATATATATAAATATATACTCTATAAATATGTACACATTTAATTGTATATTAACTATATAATCTATGGTTATATAGGTTTGCCTGCTTTTAAGGAGAAAAAAATTCACGATGAAGGAGGCAGGATATAAAATTATTTTTTTCTACTATCTAAAAACCCAAATTCTTATTGTGGTGAGAYTTTTCCCAATATTCTAAGTTTAACAATTTTTTAATTTGGTAATTAAACAAGATACCCATTTCTGTGGTTAGATAGTTACCCAATAAAATATAAAAATGTGTCATCAAAAAAAGAAGGGAAATATATTAAGTCTAAAAAACATAAAATGATGTTGAAGTAAAGTATAACCTAAGTTTTTAACACATGGAATTTTCCAGCTTCTCTTATGAAACTTCTCAGGGTTGCATTTGGCAGCCTAGACTTTATACTCTAAATTTGTGTATTTTTTAAAAAAAAAAAAGCATGCAGAGAATTTGAGTCCACTGCTCTATGTTAGAAGTACTGAGAGTGTACCTTATTGATTTGCTAGACTGCCTGCTTTCCCCTACTTAGAACTGCCATCCTGAGGACTGTAATTGAGATGTGGGTCCTGTGTGTGTTCCAGGAGTCAAACAGAATTCAAACTAGAAACCTTCCGGACAGCCAATTAGTAGTTATTCTACAAATGCTTATGGACTGGGAGATGGGAAAAGAGACTGCGTGCTGTCAAACAGATTCACTTAAAAATGCTACAKCTCTTTCTAGATCTTTTCAGTGAGGCAGCAATATCCCTAGACACATTTGAGGTATGTGAGGATTTTAAAAATTCTTTTTTAAATTTAGGGAGGCAAAATTCCAATCAGATGGACTGCCCCAGAAGCAATAGCTTTTCGAAAGTTCACCTCTGCCAGTGATGTCTGGAGTTATGGAATCGTAATGTGGGAAGTTGTCTCTTATGGAGAGAGACCCTACTGGGAGATGACCAATCAGGATGTGAGTATGGAACTACTACTCTTTCTCACTCAAGTTGAGAATGAAATGCTTTGTTCTCTGAGTCCGGACACTTACATTGTTTTTCATTTCTGGAAATGACAGTTGCTTGAAATATATGAAATTCTTTGCTTACCCCGTGATCTATTTTGTTGTTGTTGAAATAGCCTTTATGCAGAAGCTGAAAATATGTTATTACAAAGGAACATAAGTTACAGTTATATAAAACTCGGTGTGTTGCCAGATTGTCTTAGCTGCGTTATAGTGATGTGTCTTTCAGATTATATCAAAATCATTCTCAAAGATGAAGAAAGAGCCATCAACAAATGAACACTGACAAGCAAATTTTTATGATTTGCATTTGATAAAGGAGGCTAATAATCTAAACCAAAAGTATGAATGATATAGATTTAATAGTGAATGTTCTTAGAGGATAAAAAGAAATGGTGTACATTTCTTTACATTACAAAATGTAAAGAGACTTGTATTATGTATTTAATTTGATGAAAAAAAAACAGATTCTTTCCCCACAATGGAATAACTATCCATGCATATAATAACAGAATCCTAATASTAAAGAAACTATGAAAGAATCTTCTATTCATTTCAGAATGTTTATGATATGATGCCTGGAACATAACTCATTGCTCTTTGCTTTTAAATTTTTCTATTGTTACTGTTCAAAATATTCATTTTCATTTTGGATCATATTGAAAATTTATATTTTTCCCTGAAAATTGACATATTTCTCTATAACAATATTTTTATATTCAGTTAGCTAGAATAGATCAAGCCCTTACTATGTGTCATACATTGTCTTAAGTGCTTTATCAACAAATCGTTGATTGTATCTTTCTAAAACCTGGATATTGAACTATCCTCAACCTAATATTTGAAACATTCATATTTTTCTTCCAAATATTTCTTTCATTCATACTCTGTAACATCTCCCTTTCCCATGTATGCCCTCAGGAATTGAGAGAAGATAATGTAGCTCTCCTGCTGAATTTTATTGAAATAAAAGTAGATGCCCTTCAATAGATGAATGGATAAAAAAAATGTTGCATTTATACACAATGGAGTACTACTCAGCACTAAAAAATGACAAAATCATGGCATTTGCAGGGAATGGATGGCACTAGAGCAGATTATGCTAAGTGAAGCTAGCCAATCCCTAAAAAACAAATGCCAAATKTCCTCTTTGATATAAGGAGAGCAACTAAGAACAGAGCAGGGARGAAGAGCATGAGAAGAAGATTAACATTAAACAGGGATGAGAGGTGGGAGGGAAAGGGAGAGAGAAGGGAAATTGCATGGAAATGGAAGGAGACCCTCATCTTTATACAAAATTACATATAAGAGGAGGTGAAGGGAAAGGGGGAAAAAAACAAGGGAGAGAAATGAATTACAGTAGATGGGATAGAGAGAGAAGATGGGAGGGGAGGGGAGGGGGGTTAGTAGAGGATAGGAAAATAAATAAATAAATAAATAAATAAATAAATAAATAAATAAATAAATAAATAAAAATAAAAGTGTCTTGCCAGTAATTAGCTTTCACTTTTCAAAATAAAAATTCAACTACTGTCTAAATTTTAAAGTCAATCTCATATTCATTTCAAAGTGTTTCCCACAGTTTCAGGGCCAGCCTGACCAAGTTATGTAAAGTGGGGATGAATGATCAAATCTTTGCTCCTTTGTTTCTTTGTTTCCAAAGACTATAGCTGGATTCTTCAGGATTGGTCTGAGTGGAGTGGTAGGAAAGAAGGGACAAAATTATGTCATAAGTTGGGGCTGTTGAGGCTTCTTGTGGAGAAAACATTAAGTCATGAGATCTCAAGTGAGCTACTTGTCTGAGCTTTTCCAGGACTCTTGATTGAAGGCCCCTGCTAGCCCCTAGAAGAGGAGCGTGTGCTCCAACCCACTTCCTAGATCTTTTTGTGCTTGCTCCCAGTTCCACACCTCATATTGTCTTATGGCACCAATCACCTATTAGTTACTAGCAAGGGACATACTTTCACATATTTACATATTCAGTTGGATGCTCTCCTTATGGTCCTTCTTTGGGTATTGGTATCACAGACTATTCCAACCATTTTGCCTTCTCCAAAATTCCCCAGTGAAATGTCTAGGTCATACACCCGTTTTCYCAAAAATTATTTCATAGCATTCTTCTCTGGTAGCAGCAATAAATCAGGTTGATGGATTTCTGACTTTCAGCACACATACAGCAAGAGAGCTAATCTCCACTTCAACTAGGATGGTATAGCTGTTTTCCTTTGTGACCCATTCGCTTGGCTTGGGAAGGGCAGTGCGTAGTTGTGTTTCTCTACATCTGAGAGGACATATCAGTGTTATGATTTAAGGGACAGGACTGTGGTCAAAATTATTATTTGGTTATCATTATATTTATTTATATTTATCCTTATAATGCCCCTTAAAGTTTAGAGAAGTTAAATGACTTTCAGAAGGTCACAAAAAATAATAAAAGTTATACTAGAAATTTCAACCTAGTACTGTATTAAAAACAAAAATCTAACCACCAAGTCTCATTTCAATACTATTATTGCCTTTAATTTTTATGGAAGTTTTTCATTTTTGTTCAGCTAGTAAGCCTTCATATGGTGGTCCCACCCATGTGTCTATTTCACTCAAAGGAAACATTTATCCCTTGTTTCCCTAGTTAATTCCTACTCACACTTGAAATGCTTKGAGTTCTTATTCTGCCACTCAGAAACATTGGTCATTCCCAACCATGCAGTAGATCATCCCCATTTTTGGCAATTATATCTAATATAGTTATATCAGTCACAGATAAAATTATAGACAAAAGTAGATCACGTTGTTTGGTGAATATTCTTTCATGCTTTTGCTGGTATTGTCCAAGTTTCCTTATGCTTTTTTACTGCGAGTTGATAGGTAGTCATACACTTTCACTATCCTCCAGCTATCTCATCTTCCTCGTGAGACCAGCACATAGCCCCTCATTTGCCAAATGGCCAAAGTACTAGAAGGAGTTCAATTTCACTTCAGCTAGTAATGTGTCTTTTAAAATCCCCTTGGCCATTCCCATAAACAGAGTCTGGGTCAATGACACTGCTCATTGTGGAGCACTATTGCTGCATGGAGAAGGACATAGGAACAGGGAGATTGTGTAGGGTGATGAGGAATTTGTCTTCAATCCTTCACACCTCCCTTCATTTCATAGGTTTCCTGTTGGAATCTATATCTTGTGTAATAATTCTCAGTTTTTCTATCCTATGTCTATTTTTCAAAATTTATTTATTTAATGCTCAATAGCATTTTGGGCATGGAGTTATCATCGAATCTACTCTCTTAAATTCTTTTCTTTGGCTTTTATTGTTCCTTTTAAATTTTTCCCCTGATTCAACCATTTGAGTGCCTTGATACTTTTTAATAACACACAATTTCAACATATTCAGAAAAATGAGAGGGAATGGTGTTGTAAGATTTTTAGGAAATTACAAGAATAAAAACTAATATTTTAGTTTTGACCAGGTTTTCCATGAATTAGATGAAATTTTCAAAAGATGATCCTATAAATATAGGTCATTCTAAAATAGTTTTGTTTAATATAAAATATAGTAAATGRCTGGCTATTTTCTCAGCAAACTCATAGTCATCTGTAGCACTTGATTTCTAGATACAATACTAAGTGTGACATGCCCCAAGTTCTATCCAAATTTATATCCAAGAAACATGAGGGATCAACTGTATTTGAAAATCATGATTACTGACTATTTTTCTTGGGAAAAATTCTCAAAGAGCAAAGTTGAAGTGCTGATCTGACAGTTTCAAATGATATATCCCATGATGTATACATTGTAAATACTACCTGATCTAAAAAGGGCTTTGCCACCATGAAAATTTACATTACCAAGTCATACAGTATAATCTAAATCCTAAATCTCCAGGGGAGACCTTCCTCTGTGCCAGGGGAACAAAACACAGCAGTAGGTTGCTTTTGATTTAGGATTGCTGCTACCATTGCAGAGAAAAACTGTAACCAAAAAAAAAAAAAAAAAAAAAAAAAAACTTGAATGACTAGGATGATTTTAGGTAAATACCAGATCATGAACTCTGATTCAATCTCAGGAAGCTAAGTTAACTTCCCGTAGGCAGTATAAGCCTATTTATTAATATCAAACAGCCTAAAGGTCAGTGTTTTTCAGAATCAGAAATAAAAACCAAGTTAAATATTTTATTGCATTGCATTTTTACATTCAGAGACAGTGTCTTTCATTTTTATTTATTGAGGAATGTATCAATCCATAAATTCAACTAAAAATAAATTCCAAATGTTCTCAAACTTATTTAAGTAATCATTTTTCAGTCTTCCTGTTTAAATTATTTTTTCCATTTTTAAAGGAAATTAGTTTTCTGTATTTTCATTTTCCTACAAATTTTAATCCAGCATTTTTCTGAACTTTTGTTGGTATAGATTTTACTTATAAGTTAGTGAGAATATTTGACTCCAAAAGTTATAAATCGACTTAAATACTTTGCATGGTGTATGCTTTTCTATGTGTGTATATTTATATGTCAAATCAGAAAACATAAATATTACATATGAAAGATCTAAATATGTTCCTACAGTGCCATATATGTGTGTATACGTACACATATGGTATAGAATATAAGAAATATATTGTTTATTATAGATATATCACGTATACTTATTAAATTACCGGAATAGTTTGTAGTAAAATAGACAGCATGTTATAATTAAATTAGGAATATGTGAATTTAATTTCTATCCACATTATGTAATTTACTTGACAGCAAGCAAATTTTTACTTCTTAGCCTCAGTCTAGTTTGTTCCTATGAGAATGATGGATCAAAGAATATTGATTTTCCTAGATAATATTGGCCTTCTAAGTATAGTACTGTCTTTAACTGTAAATATTTTGGAAACTGGTAACCTCCTGATAGTTCTAACCCCTTTACAAAAAATGATACATAAAAAATACCAATGCTTTATCTG